AAAAATAGTATAATTAAGTAGATATTCCTGTTTGTTTTCATTTTCTATGCTTACAATAAAAATTATTGCATAAAGGCAAATATGAATCAATCTTTATTATATGCTAAGGGATAATAGCTAAGTCCTATTACATTACGCTAGAAGTGAACAGTAAAAATAAGAATGCAATTTTATAGATGAAAACTGTGTTCGTGCCACCATATTTGGCATTTCAAAGAGCTCTGCAAAAGTAAAGATTTTTTAAATTACCTAGAATCACTGTCAAGCCGTGTCATGGATTGAACTGTGCCCCCCCAAAAATATCTGTCAACTTGGCTAGGCCATGATTCCCAGTATTGTGTGACTGTCCACCATTTTGTCATCTGATGTGATTTTCCTATGTGTTGTCAATTCTATCTCTATGATGTTGATGAGAGGGGATTATCGGCAGTTATGTTAATGAGGCAGGACTCAATCTACAAGATTGGATTGTGTCTTGAGCCAATCTCTTCTGAGATATAAAGAGAGAAGTGAGCGGAGAGACACGGGGACCTCATACTACCAAGAAAGCAGCACTGGGAGAAGGGTGCACCCTTTGGACCCAGAGTCCCTGAGCCTGAGAAGCTCCTCAACCAGGGGAAGATTGATGACAAGGACCTTTCTCCTGAGTCAACAGAGAGAGAAGGCCTTCCCCTGGAGCTGACGTCCTGAATTTGGAGTTGTAGCCTACTAGACTGTGAGAAAAGAAACTTCTCTTTGTTAAAGCCATCCACTTGTGGTATTTCTGTTATAGCAGCACTAGATAACTAAGACAGGCCCCAATTTTCTAAGATCAACATACACATGTTGCTTTCTGGCAGTATTCAAATCTTTAGTCCCAGAAATGGAAAATAATGTTTCAGAGTGTCATCATTCATCATTTTAGATAAGTGATTAAAGTTATCATTGGACTTATATTTCCATAGGGTTTATGGTTTTAAAAATTATTTGATATGTATTACCTCAATCAATAACAACAATTGTGAGGATGGCACAGGACTGGGCAATATTTCGTTCTGTTGTACATACTGTCACTATGAGTTGGAACCAACTCAATGGCACCTAACAACAACAACCTCAATCAAGATAATACTTTGAGCAAGTATGATCATTCAAAATTTGAGATCAAGGAACTGCGGTTCTCCAAAGTTAATACTGATAAGAGATCTATATATGGTGCTCTGTGTCTGCATGTCTGTGTGTGTGTGTGTGTGTGTGTGTGTGTGTGTGTGTACATGAGTGTACAGGTATCTATCCTACAGTTAAATATTAGAAAGCAAAAAGGGTTCTCCCTCTCATTAAAATTAAAGATACCAATGCAGAACTTGCTGAATCAACAATTAGGAGTGTTGTTGTTGTTGTATGCCACAGAGTTGATTCTGACTCATACTAACCCTATATGATGAGTAGAACTGCCCCCCATAGGGTTTCCTACACTTTAATCTCTGTGGAAGTGGATCGCCAGGTCTTTCTCCTGCAGAGCCACTGGTAAGTTCAAACAGCCAGTCTTTCAGTTAGCAGCTGAGTACTTAAACACTACCAGGGCTCCTGAATCAAAAACAAGGAGTCATAAAGGGTAAAAGGACTCTGACACACACACAGACTTTTATTAAGAACATGAACTTGGTCTTTTACCCATATTGAACAAAATACAAAATTCAGCAGACAGTGATGATTTAAGTAACCCTTGTGTCCGCTGCCCACAGCACTGGCTCAGGCAACCACAATGATGCCCTATCATCCCATTGACAGATTTCCTTCCCATGTCCATCTCCTCCCCAGGGAGCTGCTCAGTATCCAGCTATTATTGTTGTTGTTAGGTGCCGTCGAATCAGTTCCGACTCATAGCGACCCTACGTACTAAACACTGCCTGGTCCTGCACCATCCTCACAATTGTTGTTATCCTTAAGCCCATTGTTGCAGCCACTGTGTCAATCCATCTCGCTGAGGGTCTAGGCTACTGACAAAGCCAAGGTCCTGGGATGATGGTGAGATGACAGGTACCTACAGAATGTGGCCACACATGCTCAAACCTATCACATTTTGCTAGGCTTTCTTAATGACTTAGCGGTCATTATTCCTCCCAGTTTAGTCACTAGTTGTCTAACCTAGGACATTCAATTAACAACTTTAAGCCTCACCTTTCTTATCTATAAAGTGAAATAACCAGATGACTTCTAAAGTACTAAGATATTTTAGGAATTCTAGATTCAACATTCCAAGTTGTGGTGAAATGAGTTCCTTTATGTAGTCTTTTGCCATGGTTCTTTGGAAAAACAGCTTGAGAGATTTTTCTCCTAAATCTTGAGGAGTTACCTTGCCCTAGTTTTCTACCCTAGAGAATTCGTTACTTTTGTCCACACTGATTGACATTTCCTGGGTAAGCTGTAAACAACTTGAAGTTTGATACTTTTTGTCTGGCCCTGGGCTGCAGCCTGCCCTTAGATTGGTACACACCTTGCAGGAATTGGTCAATGGACTATGCAAAAGAAGTGACTAAAGACTTTGCAAATGAAGTGCCTGTAGCCTACTATGCAAATGAAGTGTCTGTGGCCTATCAAGAGGGGATTGGTAAATTCTTGGCCCTGGTGTGAAGGCCATGCTTTGAAACTGATGAGGAGTTTGTAGATATAAGCAGCCAACCTCACAGAGGTTTCGGAGATAGAAAGAAGCAGGAAGACAGGAAACAAGACAAAGCAGAAGGACAAAAGGTTAGAGAGAAGAGAGAGGAAGCAGAGAGAAAAGAGGCAAGGAACCTCCCTAAAAGAGCTGTAACATGGGTCAAGGGCTTGACAGGCCTGGAAGGGGCCCAGGAGCAGAGCCAGCAGTGGCAGATGGCAGGGCCAAGAGGAGCCTGTCCTCAGGGGGCTGAAAGGAGCCTGTTCTCAGGGGGCCGAGAGAAGGCTTGTCCTCAGGGGCCGAGAGGAGGCCTGTCCTCAGGGGCCGAGAGGAGGCCTGTCCTCAGGGGGCTGAGAAGAAGCCTGCCTGGACAAGAGGAGCTGCACTGAAGAAGGGAGACTTTGCCTACATGTTTCCTGATCCTGATCCTGATTCTGAGTTGTAGCCTATTGATCCTAATCTCAAGTTGTACTTTGCTGCTTCCTTAATAAACCACTTAACTGTAAGTATGGTCTGTAAGTTTTGTGTGGCCATTGCAATGGATTATCAAACCCAGAAGAGAAGTAGAGAGTACCGTGGGAGTCCTGGCTGGTGTCAGAGGTTGGAAAGTGAAAGTATGTCTAACCTTTACCTCTTGAGAATCAGCTTTGGGCTGATCCTGGTCATTCCCCCCGTGAAGTTAGACAGGTTCTGATGCTACTATTACTACTTCTACAGTTCCACACAAGTTTTTTGTTTTGTTTGTGTATGTTCTAAGACATGTGATTTCTATGCATCTCTTGGCAATTCAAATCCACCCAGAGCCATCTTGGAAGATCGGCCCGGCAAAAGGTCACAGCCTCAAAAACCCTACGGAACAGTACAACTCTGCACACATGGGATCGCCATGAGTTGGAATCAACTCAACTAACAATAACAAGAATGGCTTTTCATCTTTCTTAGCATTGATATTGTTAATGATTTAAAGAAAGATTATACAGTCAGTAGAAAAAAATAGGAACATAGGGGCCACATATTTTCAGTAATTCTTTTATTCATTCTCCTGGCTCTCATAACATTAAATGAGGAATAAGAGAAACCTTTAATTGCATAAAGGAGACCTTAGGAGCCCTGGTAGCGCAGTGGTTAAGTTTTTGGCTGCTAACCGAAAGGTTGGCGGTTCAAACCCACCAGCCACTCTGTGGGAGAAAGATGTGGCAGTCTGCTTCCATGAAGATTATAGTCTTGGGAACCCTATGGGGCAGTTCTCCTCTGCCCTATAAGGTCACTATCAGTCAGAATTGACTCAATGGCAATGGGTTTGGTTGTTTTTGGTCGGGTAGGTGGTGCAAATGGTTAACATGCTTGGCACTAATCAAAAGATTGGAGGTTTGAGTCCACCCAGAAGCACCTCAGAAGAAAGACCTGTCCAGCTACCACCACTGACTGCTCTGACCAGGATCACAACGGAGGGTTCTGGACAGAGCTGGAGAAGGATGTAGAACAAAATTCTAACGCACAAAAAAAGACCAGATTTACCGGCCTGACAGAGACTGGAGAAACCCCGAGAGTATGGCCCACGCACACCCTTTTAGCTCAGTGGTGAAGTCACTCCTGAGGTTCACCGTTGAGCCGGGGATTGGACAGCCCCATAAAACAAAATGGGACTAAGAGGCACAGTAGTCCAGGGACAAGGACTAGAAGGCAGGAGGGGACAGGAAAGCTGGTGATAGGGAATCCAAGGTTGAGTAAGGACAATGTTGACACGTAGTGGGGTTGTTAACCATTGTCATAGGGCAATATGTGTACTAACTGTTTAATGAGAACCTATTTTGTTCTGTAAACCTTCATCTAAAGTGAGAATAGCAGTACAACTGGAAGAACAGCAATCAATGTCACTGAATTGTACATGTAGAAATTTTTGAAATGGTGTATCTTTGGCTATGCATATTTTCACCAAAAAAAAAAAGTCCTCCAAGGTTGAGAAGGGAGAGTGTTGATGTGTCGTGGGGTTGTTAACCAATGTGATAAAACAATATGTATATTGACTGTTTTATGAGAAACTATTTGTTCTGTGAACCTTCACCTAAAGTACAATTAAAAAAAAAAAAAAAAGAAGAAGAGAGACCTGATGATCTATTTCTGAAAAATCAGCAAATGAAAACTCTATGGAGCACAGTAATGACACACATTAGATTGCCATGAGTTGGAGGCAACTCAATGGCAACTTTTTGTTGTTGTTGTTGTTTGTTTGTTTGTTTACTAGTTTTTAATTGCATAAACCCACAAATACTCTAAGTCACATTTTTAAAGGTCTTTAAGTGATAATTTTAAGAAGTAAAAAAATTATATGAAGATATAGAATCTCTAAGGTCCTACCTACCTCCTGGCCGTTCGTGTTGTCCATCAGTGTGCAAAAGCATCGCAATGGGCATTCCTACATTCTTGGATCTTCCAGCCACAACCACATTTTTCCCAAATGTTTCAATTCCTTAAAACACAGAGTTTGATTTGAGTGAGGAATCAACAAGAAGCAAATTAAACATCTGAACAGCCAACTGAAACATTGTTTAAAAACTTCTAACTAAATTTAGATTATTGTATGGCTTGTCTATAATGTGCCCACATTCATTATTTATAAATATTTCTTTTTAATGCTTCTTGAATTTGTCATGTCCTTTCTAATTATGTCCTCATTAAAAAACAACTAATATTTTCAACCTGCCATTAAATTACTTTTAAGCATTGAGATTCACATGAAGAGTTAGAAGTGTAGAGGTTTAAAATATATTAACTCCTAATTAAAATAAGTAAAGTACAATAATGTCAAGCTTAATTGGCAACCAAACTTTGAGCAAATCTGGGACAGAATGAAATGAAATCCAAGCTCATGCACTTTACTCCAGAGGAGAGAAGCACTAAACTTACGAGTTTAGAAGAGCATGAAGCAGAAAGCTTAGTGATTTACACACTTTACCTCTTCTAGGTTTCTTCATAAGTAACATGAGAAAGTTAGAACTAAGGTTTTGCCAAGTGCTAACATTTTAAGAGAACGATTCTAGGATTTGCTTTCGCTTGGAAATTTTTTCTCTTAGTTGGAGACCAGCAGATCAGGAAAGAGAAGATACTGTCAGAAATGGAAGTGGCAGCAATGGAGGCAGGAAAATCATCCATATAAAAGGTAATATGAGGTCAAATTAATGTAAGGGTAAGCATCTCTATACACCTCAAGAGTCCAGAAGAGCACTACTATATTTAGCACAATTTAACAGTAAACGTTTATAGTGAAAACCTCGGTCATTTGAGATGGTTCAAATATGTTCAGCATATTTTGTTTTTAAAGGTAAAGAAAAAATATAATACACTTTGGAAATATTTTCATCAAAACACACTAAGTTTATAGTTTAAAAGTGGGGAGACACACCTGCTATTTGGAAAATTCACTCCCTGCAAGAAGCCACTCCCTACAAGATGGTATTATATGTGCTAACCTGGCACATTTTCATTTTATTTTATTTTGGATTACTCTGAATTCTGTAACTTTGTATCTTTCTACAGGCTTAAATTTTATGGCTTATCATTTCATGTCACTCAGTAGGATTGAGGTGGTTCCATCAAGGCAATGCACAAATGTCAGTTCAACATTTAGTATTCAGTCCCTGCAGACCCCAAGTTACCAACCTGTTCTTTTGATTATTTCCCAAACAGCACTGGCAGTGGCAGGGATGAGAGAATGCTGATCAAGGCACAGTCTTCCAATATTGATAATATGAAATCCATCTACATCTTTTTCAGGAGTAATTTCATTACATACTGTTCGCTCATCCACATGGTCTGAAAAGCAAATAAAAATTGGTCTAGTTTAAAAATTGTTATTTATTTGGGAGCCTGGAAAATGAAATCCAAGGACCTACAGCCAGACCACTTATGCTTTAGCTCCAGGAAAGGTACAAAATCATTTCTCTTTTCTTTTTCTTGCCACCAAAATAGTTAGCCAATCTGTTCTGTTTGATGGTTATAACTAACTGCTATAAGAGTATTTCACGGCCAGAAGTGGCTGGCCTGATGAGAGGGAAATATTTGTGAAATAAAAAATATCAATGAGATCTGGGAAGAGTCAAGTGATATATCTTTGCCTCAATGTGTTTGCACATTTAGAGGGTTTAATTCCACGTTTCTCCTATACAAATCATTCCATTAATAGGTTTCTATTAAATACTTCAAGGACTGAAAATTAAAAAGGTTTTGTTAGTGTTAAAAAAATTGATAATACTATTAGTACCTAACTTCTTCTCAAATCACATAACAAAACTCAAATGTAAAACACACACACACACAAATTCTTTCCCTAACGCATTAGCACATGGAAATCCAAACTATCATTATGGTTTTCTACATGGAAGAAAAAGAATCTAACCTGAGTAATGAACTAATCAAATGATATATGAGATGCCAATTATCTCATTTTGAAAAGTAAGTAATAAGAAACATAAAATGGGCTCTTACTACTCCATGCAGAGTAATTTAGGTTACCATTAACTCAACAATTAACTCATGTGTTTAATATATTGAAATACAGGTGTATTTGTTACATAAAAGCTCTTTTGTCCATTACACAATAGATGTCACTCAGACATAATTGTTAAAAATATGACCAAAGCCTAAGTTAAAATTTCATTCAAGGAGATATGCCTTGTGCCTTCGAACTTTTACGTTCCAAAAGTGACATTGCTGCCACTCTATTTTGAATAGATCCAATTTACAATCATTAGACTACCAAAATCCTTGAAATATAAAAGTAGTCATTTGAATCATAATCAAACAGAAACAGGGTCTTTGAAATGTCTCTCCATTCAACAGCTTTTCACTTGCAGTAACTGCATTCATTCTATGATGTTCTAGCAGAGGAAGACTCCATAAGTTTTCCCTGAAGCTAGCAGCTCATTATATGTGTTCTCGTAAAACTTAAAAAGAAATTACATATTCAGTTTATTAGTTGAGGATAAGAATAGTGGTTATTTAATTTTTAAAAAAATAACATGGAATCTGGATGATGATGATTCATTTTTTAGTCACCCATCACTCATGCAGAAACTTTTTGCTCCAAAACCGTTTTTTCCTCCTGTATTATATAGAAATATAATAAATATTAATCATTTTAAATATCATTCAAAATCTAAAATTGGACAGGCTCCCACTTTCTTCCTATACTTCTTTTAATCCAGACACTTAATAGCTCTAAAAAGTGTCAGGGAACTTAACTGTTTCTTCTAATGCTCCAAATACACTATTCCTAGATTAAATAACACATGTCCAAACACAAAACAGCATCAAACACTTTACAATAAAAAAGACCTAGTGTTATATGAGGAAGAGAAATAAATACATTTCTTGGTTTTGACTGACTGCTACTAAAAGTCTCCAGAAGTTTCACCCTTGGGGCAACTTCAAGAGAAAAAACGATCATAAGATTCAATAGCATCAATTTTCTCATAAAAGTTATAAAATATTTTTGATTCATACACTACTTTGGCAAACAACTAAGGGCTTAATATCCTACCCAAATGAATGAGAAAACCCGCATTATTCACTTTGTTTGGTTTTTCCCTCTATTTAAGATTATGAGATGTCATTAAATTATGAAAAAAAAAAAAAAATCATCAAGTTAAGAACATAATACTACAACAGAACAGCTCAGAAAATGCCCTGAAGGACCACATTGTATAACTGCTACATACACGGAACTACATATATATACTGCTATATACACTGAATATACATTTTATAATTTATATGTCTAATTGACTTTGGACAACGAACAGAAAAAAAAATAATGAACCAAGAAATTACTGGTTTATTTTCCCCCTAAGGATTTTTATAACATCATTGTTTAAAAGTACTCCCTCCCATCTCCCCCATACCTGTAGGATAAATGTAAGCTCATGAGCATAGCAAGTAAGGTCTTACTTTAGCCTGACTATAACATTTTCCTATTGTGTCCTCTCCTCTCCAAGGGCTCCACCCCTTTTCCAATCATAATCATCACATATGCTTCACTCTAGTCACACAGGGCTGTGTCCCATTCCTCAAGCCCTTAGCATTAACTTTTGCATTTCTTTGTTATTACTCATGATGATTTTTCCATTAATAATCCCCTTCCCTCTCCATTCTATCAGCCCACATCCTATTCATTTTTCAGTACATTGATCAGTTGCCACCTGTTCCCTCATCCCAAATTGAAATAATACTTCTTCCTCTTCTCTCTCCCACAGAACTTTGCTAGAACTACTATAAAAAGAACTCAGCATTCCATTAGTTGATCACGTTAGTTATTTAATTACATCTCTCACTTATGAATGTGAGTCTTTTAGGACACAGACCTTGCCTTATTAAACCAATCCACTCACCGCCTTCTCCATTTCTGTCAATGGCAATTCATCCTTCTGTGCTACTTAGGCCAAAACAACTTGCAGTCATCCTGAACTCCTCTCTTTCTCTCACACTCAGTATTGGAAAATCCTTTGGTTCTACCCTCATAATATATCTAGCATCTAGTTTGAGTGGCCATTATTTCTCCCCTGAATTCTTGCGACAATGTCCTAATTAGTTCCCTGCTTCTATGTTTTCACCCATAAAATCTATTCATAAAACCGCAACAAGAGTTATGCTTTTAAAATGTATGTCTGATCACATCACTCTTGTCTCAAAACCCTGCAATGCTCCTTATTTCCTTACAACGGCAAACAAGGCCCACCATGATTTGAAATGACTGCTCCAGAACTCTAGTTATCTCTCTGACCTCATCACTGGTTACTCTTCCTTTCTCTCACTCTCTGGGCTCACATTGATCTCCTTGCTCTTCCTCCAACATATCAAGAATGTCCCACCTTGGCTTCAGCTCTTCTATCTGCCTGGCAGGCTTTTCCAAAAAAAAAAAAGTCACTTTGGATAAATCCTTCCCTTCTTTCAAATCTTTGCTTAAATGTCACATTCTCAGTAAGGATTATTCTGACCATACTATTTAAAAATTTTAAGTTCCACTTCTGGTAATGGTGAAGTAAGTTATATTAGACCAAACTTCTCATAAAAACAACTGTAACCATTGAAAAATTATTAAAAAAAAAAAAAAGCAACTATGTGAAAACACTGGAGAGTCATCAAAAGCAGGCAGAATTTGGAGGGGTGTGGAGATCTGAAAGAAAGGAATGGCATTAGATGCTTTTCCTATTTTGCAGACTTTTCTAGTCATGAACAGCTAGAATTCAAATAGAAATCTGTAGTCTTACTGGGTTAGGATTCAAGGACAAAGTTTGAGACTACCACAGCAGCTGGGAATTAAGGTGGTATATCCAAGAAAAGAGAAGTTCCTTCGTGGCACAAACGGTTAAGTGCTCAGCTACTAACCAAAAGGTTGGCAGTTCAAATCCACCCAGAAGAACCTTGGAAGAAAGGCCTGATGATCTACTTCCAAAAGATACAGTCATTGAAAACCCTCTGGAGGAGCACAGTTCCACTCTGATACACATAGGGTCACTATAAGTTGAAATCTACTCGATGGCAATTAATTTTTTTTTTTGTTTGTTTTTGTTTTATGCAGGAAAGAAGAAAGCCACAGAAAGAATGGGAGGCCCAAAAAATATATATAAATTCCACCCAAATCTATGGCTGACCCCTCAATTATACATATAGGCGGAAGTCTCCAAGCAATCCATCTAAGGCTAAGAGAAGCGAACAGAGATTGCAGCTGCAACTCACTGAAGGAAAAGTTTGAAGTCTTCAATTTGATAAAGGACATTTACAAAAAATCTACATCTAGCATCATATTGAGCCCTCTGCCCCAAATATCAGGAAGAAGACAAGGGTGTCCACTCCCATCACTTCCATTCAATGTTTTATTAGAGATGCTAGCCAGTGCAATAAGGGAAGGAAAAGAAATAAGAGTCAAAAATCAGAAAAATTAAAATCTTCTGCTTATCAAAAGACACCATTAAGAAAATGAATAGGCAAGCCAAAGTCTGGGAGAAAATATTCTCTGACAAAGGACTTGTATCTAGAATATATAAAGAACTCTCAAAACTCAATCATTAAATGATAAATATTTCAATTTTTAGAAATGATCTAAATATTTAAACAGGCATTTTACAAAGGAAGATATTCAAATGGCCAATATGCACATCACAAAGATCAGACTGGTGGTTGCCTGAGGGTGAAGTGGAAAGAGTAGGGGCAAGGGCTGACTGGGAAGGGGCATGAGGAAACTCAGCTGAAGAAAATGTTCTATAGTTTGATACAGGTTTAAGGTTACATGTCTCTGGGTAGTACAAATGGTTAACATGTTTGGCTGCTAACCTAAAAGTTGGAGGTTTGAATCCACCAGAGACACCATGGAAGAAAGGCCTGTCAATCTACTTCTGAAAAATCAGCCATTGAAAACCCTATGTAGCACAATTCCACTCTGACACAGATGGGGTCACCATGAGTCAGAACTGTTTTTTGTTTGTTGTTGTTGTTGTTTTTTTTGGGGGGGGTTAGGTTACATGGGAGTTTGCATTTTCTAAAATTTATGGAATAGAACACTTAGATGTGTACATTTCAATGCATATAAATTTCACATAAAGACATAAATATTGAACTATAATTAATGACACGCATGCTGAACTTTTAGGGGTATGTTAAGTGTTCTTATAATTACAAATTACCTTCAAATGCTTCAAAAACAACATAGATTGACTGATGAATAAGTGGATAGATATGTGATAAACCAAATATAGCAAAATGTCAATAATTATGGAATCCATGTCGGGGTATATGAGTGTTCACTGTACCATTCCTTT